ATATATATATATATATATATATATATATATATATATATATATATATATATATATATATATATATATATATATATATATATATATATATATATATATATATATATATATATATATACATATATATATATATATATATATATAAATGTGTGTGCATATGTTTGTCCCTCTTCTAGACGCACAAACTAAATTATTTTTCTTACGTATTGATCATAATGCTTCTAATAATTTATAAACACGCGTAAATTGTCTATTATATACATTGCTAGTTATTCGAATTGCAGAGTGCTGAGGTCTCTAATTGTGGTCGTAGAACAAGAACACAAGCCGGTATCGTATTAAGAAAGCAAGTGCGACGCCAATTGATTGCACAACTAACAGTAATGTAGTGAGCTTGTCCTCTCGCATGGGCCCACAAATGTCCAGTACCATGTTGATCATAGTTAGATTGCTCATGGAGATTTTCTGATCCGCCTTGTCGCCTATTAAGTTGTGGATTTGATTGTGTAAGTTGCCGGGTAGTATTTAGAAAACTGCTATTCATAGTGTGCTATACCCGAAAACTAGTCGCGTGTATCGCTTAAAACTGCGTTTCCTACTAGCGCACCGGATTGACCTGCAAAAGATATAACATACGCCACAGTTCCAATACCGAATGCATTGTCAAAAATAGCGAAACCCTTTTCCATATTTACGAAAGGTGTATGTATGCAATCACAGCGGAATAATATCGAATAGACGAAGAGGACTCCACACGTGAATGGGTGTGCCGCGGGTATGAATCACAAACAACAACCACACCCTAATCAATCGAAGATCAAAGCAAACGGTTTCACATATTCAAAGTCGAGCTGCAACATGAACGTACCCGTGGGCTCAGATGTAGCACACGCCAACCCTGTCATGAGCAACAGCTTCGTCACGAAAACTCCTGGAGACTTGACCTCTGACAGCAGGTATTCGTGCCTACTCGCTTGCAGTAGGCCGGTTTCTTTATTTAACCTGCAGATGTGAGATGTAATGCGATATTGCGCGAAGGCGAGATAGACTGGCATGAGACTTGGGCGATACATTTGATAGGGAATACCTCACTCGTATGTGTGCAAAAAATTCAGACAATTGAAACAAATGCTGAATTGGCGTCGTGGGCCTTCGAACCACACGCGATAAGATCTGCTGCATTGGTACGCCTGTGATTTCTAGTAGTGTATCCCACCTCAGAAACAGTATACTACAACTAGCCTACATTCGCGGTGATGAACACTAAAACAGCGCGTTCGATAGTGATGAAGACGAACGTGAAGTATTGTAACCCCCCCCCCCTTTGTTTTAACCCACACGGAGTGTAGATAATTGGTACTGCACACACGTACTGACAGTAGAGAAACTGCACTGCCCAGTGTGTGTTCGATAGCGATGTGGAAAGCCGTCATCTATCACATGTATAAAACGTGTTTGAGACGCAAAACATAGATTGTCAAAGGTTTTAGTGCGCACGCATCAGCCCGCATGGCACCACAAAGAAGAAGTATATCAAATCAGTGCACCAGTATATTTCGTAGAATACTACTTCCGGCTTCAATGAGACAAACCTGGGCATGCGATGCCTGGGACAGGGAATAAGCCTGAACAGCTGCGGGGTCGAGTACACGAAGTTGAGGACCTAGGTGGGCGGGTAAACAAAATGAGAAGGTATGTCCAATCGATGAGATAGCCAATCAATCCGGTATCAGGGAATACGATTTGTGGTAAGGTAAAATCTAACCGAGATAGAAAACAAAGGGACCACCGTACAGGCACGGAAACACGGAGACCTAGCGGTTCACTATATGCAGATCATGCTGCGTTTGGTACAGAAATTCCGCATTTGCCCACAACACATACCTGCGGGATGAAGAATAGCAACACGGTTTTGCTGAACGTGCCGAGGATGCCCACCACCGCAAAGGTCATCCCGGCAAAGTAGCAGTACGTATCACCCACAAAGACACTCGCGGGGAACCTAATAAGATGGCACAGCGGGTATTGAGACGAGTGAGAGGCCCGTCCGTATGCTACAAATGCCCACAATCCAGGCGAGGCGTAGAAACGAAGCGAACGCCAGCACTTGCTAATAAAAGGCAATGCCAAGATATGCAATCGGCAACTCAACATAGGTTGGGCTGTGTGTGCAGTACACAGTTTTTCCAGGTAGTGACTATCTATCAACGTGTATGAGAGTCGATCTGCTATAAGGGCGTATATGAGAGTCCATCTGCTATAAGGGCGCCAGGGGCTCTGACCTCCTGGGTTATTTAGTCAAATTGGCAGTACATCCGCCACGCTTTGTATGTGAGTGTCCCGATGGTACGCGTATACATACACACCGCTCGACAGCTAACGAATTTAATTTGTACAGAACTTCCGTGTCATAGGTCTTGGAGAGTTGTGTCTTGGTCTATTCTCATGCGCTCTCGTACACTTTACCGCGACGTTGTTTTTGAATCGAGGCATAGACTGACATATCCAATGGAAGAGATGCGAAGTATATCAGCACGCATATATGAAATGCACAAGAGAATCACAAATTTATACGTAGATACATTGAATATAACTGACATGCGCTCTCGTACACTTTAACGCGAATTTGTTTTTGAATCGAGGCATAGACTGACATATCCAATGGAAGAGATGCGAAGTATATCAGCACGCATATATTAAATGCACAAGAGAATCACAACTTTATACGTAGATACATTAAATATAACTGTCTTGGTCTATTCTCATGCGCTCTCGTACACTTAAACGCGAATTTGTTTTGAATCGAGG